TCCATCCATAAATGCAAATAAAATTGTTAAATTACGAGCCTAGTCGGTTTAGCCACGGAAAAAGACAGGAACCTTCACACTAGCCATGATTGGCTGAGATAATGGATGGGCTGGACATGCCGGGAGATGAGTTTGGATTGGTCTGCCATGTAGCATGCTTTTGTCTGTAACGTGAGCTGTTCAGTATGTGTTGATAGTCCTTTCTACCGCGCTGTTTTTTGAAAGTTTTTTGAAAGATATAATGTTAGCCATCGAGAACTACTAATTTTCTCTACAATATTGATGCCCTGAATTTAGCAGGCGCTATCGACAGATCAATTGGAATAAGTGATGGGCTACTTTCTGCACACGCCACTGTCAGTGTGAACCGGAGCGACTTGACACATGCTGGCCAAACAAGATGTATCTACAAACAAAACAGAGTTAAATGGTTCCAGTCTGCCGTGAAGCGTTCATCCATGAATACGGGTAAGAGTCTAGATACATTTTCAGATATACGTTTCTAATTTTGTCAGAAAGTCATTTTTATTGCAAGTTAACGCGTACATTAGCTTGCTGGCTCGTTAGCTAAAGTTATGTGTATTTTTTATTTTATTTTATTTTTTACCTTTATTTAACTAGGCAAGTCAGTTAAGAACAAATTCTTATTTACAATGACGGCCTACACCGGCCAAACCCGGACGACGCTGGGCCAATTGTGTGCCGTATGATCTGTGTAGTAATATTATTCTAATCAGAAATCCATTTGCATTGCTAGTTATAGCCTATTGTTAGTTAGCTAACATTGAATCTAGTTTGTTAGCTTTAGCTACCTGCAGATTTATACTACAGCTATGACAATGTTTGTATTGGTAGTAGTACGAGTTGGGATTATGCCGGTTCATTGTTTAGCTAGCTAGCTACCTAGCTAGCTACATGTCTAAACAAAAGACTCCACTTCGGCCAGATTATTACATGACCCACCTAATTAGCCAGGTGTGTCTGGGGGTGATTACGGCCATCTATTGTATTTCATGAACATGTGTACATGTCTAGACAATAGTGATCGATCCACTTAGCTAGATGTGGGTGAGGGGTGGTTATAGCATCCTTCACATGACCCAGCAATTTAGACAAGTGTGTCGGGTAAGCGTCATCTAATAATTATATAATATTTATAAAATATTTTTATCTGGATACTTAATGTTTTTGATATTGCTACTACCCCATTTAGTCAGCCACCAATTGTGCAAGTTCTCCCACTTAAAAAGATGAGAGAGGCCTGTAATTTTCATCATAGGTACACGTCAACTATGACAGACAAAATGAGAACAAAAAAATCAGAAAATCACATTGTAGGATTTTTTATGAATTTATTTGCAAATAATGGTGGAAAATACGTTTTTGGTCACCTACAAACGAGCAAGATTTCTGGCTCTCACAGACCTGTAACTTCTTCTTTAAGAGGCTCCTCTGTCCTCCACTCGTTACCTGTATTAATGGCACCTGTTTGAACTTGTTATCAGTATAAAAGACACCTGTCCACAACCTCAAACAGTCACACTCCAAACTCCACTATGGCCAAAACCAAAGAGCTGTCAAAGGACACCAGAAACAAAACTGTAGACCTGCACCAGGCTGGGAAGACTGAATCTGCAATAGATAAGCAGCTTGGTTTGAAGAAATCAACTGTGGGAGCAATTATTAGGAAATGGAAGACATACAAGACCACTGATAATCTCCCTCGATCTGGGGCTCCACGCAAGATCTCACCCCGTGGGGTCAAAATGATCACAAGAACGGTGAGCAAAAATCCCAGAACCACACGGGGGACCTAGTGAATGACCTGCAGAGAGCTGGGACCAAAGTAACAAAGCCTACCATCAGTAACACACTACGCCGCCAGGGACTCAAATCCTGCAGTGCCAGACGTGTCCCCCTGCTTAAGCCAGTACATGTCCAGGCCCGTCTGAAGTTTGCTAGAGTGCATTTGGATGATCCAGAAGAGGATTGGGAGAATGTCATATGGTCAGATGAAACCAAAAACTCAACTCGTCGTGTTTGGAGGACAAAGAATGCTGAGTTGCATCCAAAGAACACCATACCTACTGTGATTCATGGGGGTGGAAACATCATGCTTTGGGGCTGTTTTTCTGCAAAGGGACCAGGACGACTGATCCGTGTAAAGGAAAGAATGAATGGGGCCATGTATTGTGAGATTTTGAGTGAAAACCTCCTTCCATCAGCAAGGGCATTGAAGATGAAACATGGCTGGGTCTTTCAGCATGACAATGATCCCAAACACACCGCCCGGGCAACGAAGGAGTGGCTTCGTAAGAAGCATTTCAAGGTCCTGGAGTGGCCTAGCCAGTCTCCAGATCTCAACCCCATAGAAAATCTTTGGAGGGAGTTGAAAGTCCGTGTTGCCCAGCGACAGCCCCAAAACATCATTGCTCTAGAGGAGATCTGCATGGAGGAATGGGCCAAAATACCAGCAACAGTGTGTGAAAACCTTGTGAAGACTTACAGAAAACATTTGACCTGTGTCATTGCCAACAAAGGGTATATAACAAAGTATTGAGAAACTTTTGTTATTGACCAAATACTTATTTTCCACCATAATTTGCAAATAAATTCATTAAAAATCCTACAATGTGATTTTCTGGATTTTTTTTTCTCATTTTGTCTGTCATAGTTGACGTGTACCTATGATGAAAATTAAAAGGCCTCTCTCATCTTTTTAAGTGGGAGAACTTGCAAAATTGGTGGCTGACTAAATACTTTTTTTCCCCACTGTAGCCTTACTGTCACTGGTGGCAGTGGCACATTATGTTGGTCTGGGATTACTGGCATATTCAGCTTTGTGTTGAGCCAGGAACATACAGTAGGCTAGCTAATGGGACACAAGAAGCCAATCTAGAATTACATTTCCCAACTACCACACTCTAACAACAAAACACAGACAAATTCAATGTATTGATAGAATACATGTCCAGTCGGGTTGGAAATGGGTGTTGCTGGGTTTGATGAGTGACATCCCCAGATGCTGTGTCTGAGGCTGAACCGTGAGAATGACCTTCTGGCCCCTGACCTTCCGATGTGCTGAGCCTGCCCTTATCCAATGGCCTTGTTGCCTGACTGATCTCCTGAAGGCATTTATTGTCATGCCCCATTTCCACTCTACGTGGCCATTTGGGATGATGGAATAGGAGTACAGACGTGACCTAGCCTCGTACGAACCATCCTGATCTCGCAAGATCACATTCTGTTTCTCTACACAATGTGAGCTTGCGAGATCAGGATGGTTCGTACGAGGCTAGACGTAACCTGCTTCTCCATGGGGGCTCCCAGAAGTCGGTATCATGCTTCTAGAAGGACCTCACATAACTTGTCTAGTTATGTGAGCCTCTGCTCCAATTCCACCCTACATATGTGCCAGACAGGCTGACACTGTACCCTATACCACTGTGCCCCACTGGCTAATGTCTTTTAATTTTTTATTTAACCCTAATTTTTGCAGGTAAGTTGACTGAGAACACATTCTCATTTACAGCAATGACCTGTGGAATAGTTACAGGATGAACGAGCCAATTGGAAGCTGGGGATGATTAGGTGGCCATGATGTTATGAGGGCCAGATTGGGAATTTAGCCATGCCACCGGGGTTAACATGGGATCTTTAGTGACCACTGAGAGTCACAACATCAACAACATGTCCCCATTAATCCGTACAATAATACTTCCCTATCTTGATTTATGTCCATACAGTTATATCAAGAGAGACTCTTGAAGTAACTAAATATTGTAAGAATATTTTTATTTGTGCCTCTTGCATAGCGATTAAAGCCAAGGGGCTAGAATTTATGATATTGCTAGTCTTGGCTGTTGATCTATTTTTCCTGATGATAAACCATTGATCTCTAAATATTGGCTGACCAGAAAAGCCACAACCCTGATTGGCAGATAAGTGGCAACCCTGATTAGAAGCACCTGCTGCTCATCTGTTGTTCTTTACTAAATGCTGTTTTGAATTAAAGAATATTGTACCTACACACTGAAGAAGGCTGTAAAGCAGAAACATCTGTGTACGCTATCCCTGATGCAGTGAAACGTCTGTGTACGCTATCCCTGATGCAGTGAAACGTCTGTGTACGCTATCCCTGATGCAGTGAAACGTCTGTGTACACTATCCCTGATGCAGTGAAACGTCTGTGTACGCTATCCCTGATGCAGTGAAACGTCTGTGTACGCTATCCCTGATGCAGTGAAACGTCTGTGTACGCAATCCCTGATGCAGTAAAAAAAAAAAAAAAAACTTGAATAATGAAGTAAGCTTTATGCAACATATTTTTTAGCGCAAACCCATTACACCTCTTTGTTTGTCTGAATTTGCGGGTTTTACGCACCAGCAAAGCTTCTGGGAGAGTGCCATGGTTCTCTTTTGATTGCTTACAGGAATGCCCACATGAAAGAATACTACAGTTTACTATAGAATACTACAGTACTTACTATAGAATTATGTAGTAAACTGTAGTATACTGTAGAATACTATACTATACACTGTAGTGTCCCTCAATCATGTGTATAACTTACTAGACTGTAGTAGTATACTGTAGAATACTATAGTAAATACTACTGTATTATCCGCAAAACACTGTAGTAAATACTACAGTAATGTCAGCAAAAAACATGACAGTCTGCAAAAACACTACACTTTTTTACCTATTGTAAATACTACAGTATTTCATTTGCATATACCCATTCCCCTCCTCCATTTCCCAATTTGTGCAACCCATAAGTGAGAAACCTACATGCCATGTATAGACCATATATTGTATTATAGAAAAGAGAAGAAGCTCTGAACTATCCGTTCAGACCCCAGTCCTACCTACCTACCCACCTACCCACCCACCCACCCACCCACCCACCCACCTACAGGTTATGGAAAATGTATTCACTGTAGTGTTTTTGCAGACTTCAGTGAATATGACAGTCAAGTCTGAAAAAACACTACAGTGAATACTAGTATTTATACCATAATATACTATAGTATTTCTTCATGTGGGTGTGGAGAAAGAATCCCCCTGCTAGATCTGTCAGTGCATTACCCATGCTTACCTTCTTCAGTCTGCCACTCCTGGTGCCGATAAAGGCCACGCTGTAGCCATTATAGATGTAGGAGGTGACAGAGGTCAGCCTGTCCCTGGTTTCAGTGTACACCGTCAAGCCAGCTACCAGCTGGGAGCCCCCCAGGGGCTGGTTGATGTCCAGCCCACAGAAGTGATCATCAATAGGCACAGGCTGCAGAGAGAGATGGGGGAAGACAGGGAGAGATGGGTGAGTCAGAGAGCAAGAGAAGGAGAGTAAGAAATCTCAAAATGACTACTGTAAAAATCCTTACATATTTGCTACACACAATTACCATGGTTTTCAAGGCCGCGACTTCAAAAGATATTGGGGCTGTTACATTTGTCAACAGTGCCAGGACAGTGTGTTTGTTGAGCAGTTTAATTGCTCGTGGCAAACAGGAGAACGCCATGTATTTGGTGCAGGTTTCTGTGATTTAAATCGCTTGATCTGACATCACACAAACATACAGGCCCAGAGATGTCAGATTTTGATTTAGCATCAAAGAGGCTCGCATGCTAAGCAGTCCTGTTACATCTAGCACAACCCACCTCAAACATCCACTAATGGCCTGTCAGACAGAATAGAAATCTCACTTTTTAGGGCAACACATTTGTACTTTCATTTCCTGCACCTCTCGAGAGTATCTATTCTGCTTTCTTCTGCACTGGAACAGATGGATGACATGGGTAAGAGGCAGTATGTGACTATTAGCAAAATAGGATCTTGGAATCAAAGTAGTTGGGTGAGAGTTGCTGAATAACAACCTTGATGGATGTCCTTGTTACCATTTTTCTGAACACTGACAGCCTCATATCATACAGAATTACAGTCACAAATGGAAAGAGAGAGAGTGAGAGAGAAAGAGAGAGAGAGAGAGAGAGAGAGAGCCTGAGCCGGAGCCTCTGAATGGAATCAAAGTCACATACAAAACTCCTCTGATTAGCCTTGTACATTCATCTCCCCAACTTACTCTGCTGCTCTTGAGGAATATTGAAAACGTTGAATGGGACTCTTCAGCGGGATTCTGTCTACCTTTCTGCCTATCAGCTACTGTTAGTGTAATCAAGGCTGTGGGGTATTCAAAGAGCTTTAAATATTACATTCTCTAACCTGTCAGCTCCACTGTCTGAATAATGTGACTGTATGCCACATCAGAGGAGCCAATGCTGGTTTGCCCCTGGCTAGCTGGATGCTAATGAAGGGACTGGATGCAGCCCTCTTCAGGGTGTTAGCTACAGGTACCTACCGCCTTGGTGCACTGCACATCCTTTCCAAGCAGCCAGTGTAATTCCAGGTTGCCCTCTCCCTGGTAGCAGGACTGCAGACGCTCTTTAATGCGGGCGTTGATGTCTCGGATGGTAAAGATACACAGGGCGGAGTTGTCCAGAGGCTTGTGGTACTGCTTCTGGCCCTTGGTGAACACAGCAAAGAGGACGTCATCCTGGGCACTGATGTTGAAGGACCTGGCCAGTACCTTCCCTGCCTTAGACAGGTGGGCGGCCTGTAGGAGGCGATACTCCTCTCCCTTGTGTACACAGCCCACTGGCAAAGACACGTAAGAGTGGAACTTTGTGTCCCCTTTGCAGAGGCGTATGATGCGGGTTGTGTAGAACAGGTCACCAGGGGAACTGCCAGCAGGCATCCCGTTCTCTGGGGTCTCTGGCTGCACGGTAAGGAAGTAGACAAAGTTCCCGCTGGCGAAGCCGTAGATGTAGTAGATGTCAAAGCGCGGGACCAGAGCTAGCGTGTCAGAGGGGATCTTAATGAGAGAGGAGACAAAGTCAGTGTGGAGCTCATAGTCCAGCATGGCAGAGGACTCTGGGTCACGGGGCAGCTTACGGCTGGAGATGGTGGGGAAATAGTCCTGCTTTCCACCCACGGCTGTGCCGATGAACAGGGTGCCATCCTGGCCCTGCGAGGAGGGCACGATGACCCCATACATGGTGCCTGTCTGGTTGACACTGGAGAGGTAATGCTCTTTCTTGTGAGTGGGCTCTACCAGGATAAACAGATCGTCCTGTCGCATCAGCTTGCAGACACCCTGGTAGAGGCTGCCACAGGCCAGCAGGCGGTTGTGGGAGTAGTCTATGAGCAGCAGTTTGTTAATGTTGTCAGTGGATGCCAGGGGTTCCGAGCAGGGCTGCACTATAAGAGGAGGGTAGCAGGCGTTGTTATCGTACTCAGGACCTGTGTCGTGGGAGACCAGAAGTGTTAGGTTAGCAGACAGCTTGTAGATCCGGTTCACAGCACCAACGTAGAGAACACCAGTGGTCTTGTGCACTGTCAGGTGGTTCAGGGTCCACTCTCTCCTCTCTGACTGGAAAGTGTTGACAGTCTGACCTTGGCCCATCGCTAGAGAGATGGACATCAGGACCAACAGCCACCACGTCAGGGGCCATGACTGCCCCTTAGTACGGCCGCAGTAAGTGCATCCTATATCCAAACACGTCCCCATCCCCATTGGGGTTCTAAGAGATGGCAAGTCCAGACTAACTCTCTAGTGCTGTAGGGCAGGAATGAACAAGGCTGTACTCAGTCAGGCTGCACTGTAGTTGATATCCTCAACAATGGTTTTCACATCGTCCTGAAATAGAAGATAAATGGTTTGTTCTAGACTTGAGATGACCTAGAATACTTTGATTTAACCAGAAACAAACCGAAGACGTTATAATAAACCTTTCATAAACCTTTAGCGAGAACTCATAAAACAGGGTTTTATTCATAAAATGTTTTGATTAAAATAATTATATGAATTACCTCCCTCCAATTTTACAAGGGTGACATTTTACAATGACAAGAGTTTTCCATTATAAAAGACAGGACTAAGAGATACAGGCCAGAGACAGCACAGATTCACACTGATAAATAGCATCTTGAAATGGTTTCACCCTGTTTCTTCTGCTCTGCTTTCTCAGACACAACATACATCAACGGTACATGTAATTCTAGTAATCACTTCACAGGAGAAGTGTAGACCTCTATCCCCACTGCAATCAATGCGTTGGGCTAGATTAGCAGGAGAGGTGTTCTCTCTGCTTCCCCTATCTGCAGGGGCTCATTCTCTCTGTGACTGCCAGGAAGGTACATTATGTAGCCTAACACTTCAACAAAGCAGTGACAAACAGTGACTCTGTGCCTTACATTCTGTTCAGGCAGCTAATTAAATAGGATCCAAATGTATTAATTATGCTTCCATATTTCCAGCTCCCTGTTTTCTTTACTCCCCTCCCTCTTGTTCTCCTAAATGGTTGAATCCTCCAGGAATTAATCACTCTCTCCAGCGTGGCAGACATTCCTAAATTAATCAGGCCTTTTCCAGGGATGGCGAGAATCATTAGGGATTAAAAGTCAGGCAGCATCAACCCTTTCGCTTCCTCGTTTAATTTCATTAGCATATTTTATGTAGATGTTTCAACCAGGAGACAAACAATGCCTCTAGAATATTGCATGGAATGGATGGATGAGTGGATGGATGAGTGGATGGATGAGTGGATGGATGAGTGGATTGATGGATGGACTAGAGAAAGGAGAGTGAAAGCCTTGTAAAAAATCATGTTATGTATGACTTTCTTTCTTCTCACAATCTACTGATCATCATGTGCTGTATGCTTTAGTTTGGTTCACATCTATCTAAATTAAAAACAATTCTCACACTGATTAGTCAAGATAACCTGGTTAGTCACTTTGGACCTGGAGAACAAATGGCACTTTTACCAGGCCTCCTGCTTATATTAATGTAGGGTAGGGAACATTGATCAGAGATGAGGTAGAACTGGTGGCTTCATACTTCCACCCAGTCCATAGTAGTAATAAAAGTGCCAGGCGCGGAGGAAAGGACTGTAAATTAGGAGCCCACATCTGCCTGCACTGCACCCGCTCCTTTTGTCTGAGTCCCAGCAGCTCTGGAGGCTTAGCCAAGCTGGCTCTATAAGGCTGTGGAGCCCCCACAAACCACACGCTCTGTCCTGTCTGATGCCAGACCAACAACTCTCTACTGTAGCCTCTCTGCTTCACAAACCATTCACCTTCCCAGTGGAATGGTACGGAAGCATCTGGCCAGCTCAAAGCTTTTAGCTTGGAAATAATTGCCTTCTCTGGTCCTAGGTCCCCTTAAGATAGGAAAATAGATTATTTATCTCAATGAGACGTCCTGGTTAGAGTAAATGTTAAATAAAAATGGTCATGTGTGTCCTAGCATTGGACAGAAGTGGCCATGGCTGCACTCCGTTGCTAACTACTAACAGGATGTCTGGCAGTGTGTTGTGTATGAGCCAGAGAAGGGGAGGACAGACAGGACTGGAGGATTGACACAGTGGTGTCTGGGTTCTCTCCAGCTCCACTCTAGTGTCTCCTCTCCATCTGTCCCTGCTTCAAAGACATCAGGGGGGAAATCACTGGAGTGTCCCTTTTTCCTCTGGTCCCTTTGGCAGACAGACGCACTTTGTGTATTCTCTCCCTGTTCTCTAAAACATACAACACATATCCCCCCACCCCGCGCCACCTTTGCCTCCGGTGCTGAAAGAAATCCTAGGGGAAACACTGTACTGGCACTGTCATTGCTGCCCTGTTCTGTTGCCATGTAGTTATTTGGTTGTAATGCATGTCAGTTACAAATGTAAAGCTGGATGTTACAAGGAAAATATCAAAACTCTATATCCAGATGTTTTTTTTAAATGTCACTGCCCTGGCAAGCTGTGTTGTGCAGGATACACATACAGTGAGGGAAACATTTATTTGATCCCCTGCTGATTTTGTACGTTTGCCCACTGACAAAGACATGATCAGTCTATAATTTTAATGGTAGGTTTATCTGAACAGTGAGAGACAGAATAACAACAAAAAAATCCAGAAAAAAACAGAAAAACGCATGTCAACAATTTTATGAATTGATTTGCATTTTAATGAGGGAAATAAGTATTTGACCCCTCTGCAAAACATGACTTAGTACTTGGTGGCAAACCCTTGTTGGCAATCACAGAGGTCAGACGTTTCTTGTAGTTGGCCACCAGGTTTGCACACATCTCAGGAGGGATTTTGTTCCACTCCTCTTTGCAGATCTTCTCCAAGTCATTAAGGTTTGGAGGCTGACGTTTGGCAACTCAAACCTTCAGCTCCCTCCACAGATTTTCTATGGGATTAAGGTCTGGAGACTGGCTAGGCCACGCCAGGACCTTAATGTGCTTCTTCTTGAGACACTCCTTGGTTGCCTTGGCCGTGTGTTTTGGGTCATTGTCATGCTGGAATACCCATCCACAACCCATTTTCAATGCCCTGGCTGAGGTTTTCACCCAAGATTTGACGGTACATGGCCCCGTCCATCGTCCCTTTGATGCGGTGAAGTTGTCCTGTCCCCTTAGCAGAAAAACACCCCCAAAGCATAATGTTTCCACCTCCATGTTTGACGGTGGGGATGGTGTTCTTGGGGTCATAGGCAGCATTCCTCCTCCTCCAAACACAGCGAGTTGAGTTGATGCCAAAGAGCTCGATTTTGGTCTCATCTGACCACAACACTTTCACCCAGTTCTCCTCTGAATCATTCAGATGTTCATTGGCAAACTTCAGACGGCCCTGTATATGTGCTTTCTTGAGCAGGGGGACCTTGCGGGCGCTGCAGGATTTCAGTCCTTCATGGCGTAGTGTGTTACCAATTGTTTTCTTGGTGACTATGGTCCCAGCTGCCTTGAGATCATTGACAAGATCCTCCTGTGTAGTTCTGGGCTGATTCCTCACCGTTCTCATGATCATTGCAACGCCACGAGGTGAGATCTTGCATGGAGCCCCAGGCCGAGGGAGATTGACAGTTATTTTGCGTTTCTTCCATTTGCGAAATATCGCACCAACTGTTGTCACCTTCTCACCAAGCTGCGTGGTGATTGTCTTGTTGCCCATTCAAGCCTTGGTCTACAATCTTGTCCCTGACATCCTTGGAGAGCTCTTTGGTCTTGGCCATGGTGGAGAGTTTGGAATCTGATTGATTGATTGCTTCTGCGGACAGGTGTGTTTTATACAGGTAACAAGCTGAGATTAGGAGCACTCCCTTTAAGAGTGTGCTCCTAATCTCAGCTTGTTACCTGTATAAAAGACACCTGGGAGCCAGAAATCTTTCTGATTGAGAGGGGTCAAATACTTATTTTCCTCATTAAAATGCAAATCAATTTATAACATTTTTGACATGTGTTTTTCTGGATTTTTTTGTTGTTATTCTGTCTCTCACTGTTCAAATAAACCTACCATTAAAATGATAGACTGATCATTTCTTTGTCAGTGGGCAAACCTACAAAATCAGCAGGGGATCAAATACTTTTTTCCCTCACTGTAAAAGGTAAATCCTGTGGCTCCTGGGAAGGAGAGCAACAGGTGCTGACTGGAGATCAGTGGAGGTACCTCAGAGGAGGAAGGGGAGGACCATCCTCCTCAGTGAATTTCATTTTTTGTATTATTGTAAAACATTGAAAAAGTTATCCTTTTTAGATAAAACTATACTAAATATATTCACGTCACCAAATAATTGATTAAAACACACTGTTTTGCAATGAAGGTCTACAGTAGCCTCAACAGCACTCTGTAGGGTAGCACCATGGTGTAGTCAGAGGACAGCTAGCTTCCGTCCTCCTCTTGGTACATTGACTTCAATACAAAACCCTAGGAGGCTCTTGGTTCTCACCCCCTTCCATAGACTTACACAGTAATTATGACAACTTCCGGAGGACGTCCTCCAACTTATCAGCGCTCTTGCAGCATGAATTGACATCTTGTCCACCCAATCAAAGGATCAGAGAATGAATCTAGTACTAAAAGCATAAGCTACAGCTAGCTAGAACTGCAGTGCATAACATGTGGTGAGTAGTTGACTCAATGAGAGAGAAAGACAATAGTTGAACAGTTTTCAACAAATTAATTTCTTCCAAAATGAAGGAGAAGCAAGAGAGAGAGAGAGATTTCATCATTTTTTTCACTTACTTAGCTAGCAAATGCAGCTGGCTTGTTCAGTTACTCAAACACCCGGCTCAAACAGAGGGATGCTATGTTAGCTATCTGGCTATGACTATCCAACACAACACTGGAACTCTTCCAAGTCAAGGTAAGCTTTTGGTTTTATTAATTTATTGCCACAGGGGCCCGCCGGTCTAACTGCTTACTGACTATACACTGTAATGTTACTGCATGATTGTAGCGGGTTTACTAACGTATTAGTTATATTAGCTATGTTGACTAGGACGTTACTTTAGCTAATATGGGGACAATGATGTAGGCTGTTTATAGCGGTTATGACATAGTTTGGCTTGGAAAGGTATTTTCGCCTGGTCACATACAGCTGATGTGTTGTTCTTTGAAGTCCACAAACGAAGGGAAAAGGTGAGAGGAGGAGAGCGCATAGAGGCTAGAATTAATACAACGTCTCTGTTATGAAACTTGAGTGAACTGTGTTTATGCGTGATCAGGGGTGTATTCATTCCACCG